AAAAAAAAATAAAAAAAAGATAGTTGGGGCTTGCGTGGGGTGTATAGGCAGCTTTCAGGTGTATCGGCAGGTGTCAGCTCGATATACTTATATACTTATGTTTTGTGTTGAGGTGTATATACAATATATTGGGGTGTATGTATAGTCAGGTATGGTGTTTTGTTTGTGTATATGTCTCTGTTTGTTTGTGTATATTCTATCATTCTAAGTGTACATGTATTCTATAAATATTATTTATTTATTTATTTATTTATTTATTTATTTATTTATTTATTTATTTGTTTATTTATTTATTTATTTAATATATTACAGCCGAGAGGTGCTGCAGTGTACTTGTTCTTACGTGAGCACCTCCGCCTCAGTTTCATTCTCTTCTCCCACACAAATTTTTATGCGGCCGCCAGCTGCCTCTATCCTGACGCGGTGCCACTCGCCCTGCACGTAGCCGCCGTCTCTTCTCTCGGCGATGGTTGTCTCTTCTCCTCTATCCAGACGCAGCAGCTTCTTGCTGCCGCTCTTCTGCTGCAGCAGCAGCAGATAGCCGCTGCTGCGGTCCTTCATTCGAAAGCCAATACCCACGCTCCCGCTACCCATCGCCTGAAAGAAACACACATCGTATCTTTCTCCTCTTCACGTGCATGCATGCATGCATGCATGCATGCATGTGTGTGTGCATGCATGCATGCATATATACAGGGCAGAATTCGGTGTGTGGAGTAAACATGTTCGCATGCATGCATGTATGCATGGACGTATGCAGAAGGAATGAAACGTGTACTACATACATACACGCATGCATACATACATACATGCATGCATGCATGCATGCATGCATGCATGGATGCATGTATGTATACAGTGTGTATTGCGTGTGTTATTCTTACGAGGAACTGAACAGTAAGCACGAAGTCATAGAAGCNATGTATACAGTGTGTATTGCGTGTGTTATTCTTACGAGGAACTGAACAGTAAGCACGAAGTCATAGAAGCTGCGTCTTCTGAGTATGGCGAAGGTTCCGTCTGTATCTGTGGGGCCGCTGATGGGGGTGGATTGGCCGAAAACGTTTTTGTGTGTGGCGACGAGCGGAGCGAAGCCCCAGTGGCTGGGCCCTTCTCGGGTGTATGTACAGTCCTGAACTAGAAACTCGTGCTCAAAGGTTGTTTCTGTTGGCGTCAGTTTATAAGATTCATATCCTCGCTGCAACACATGCGTCTCCTCCAGCTGCTGCAGCTGCTCCTGCTGCTGCTGCAGTCGTGTTGCTGCATCAGCTGATGCCGTCAGCATATGTGTTGTTAGGTTTTCAACTTCTCGGAATCTGTTTATGTTTCTCTATGAACATACAAAGCAACACAAATACACACACAGCAACGGGGTGTACGTACAGCTCCGTCGCCTCGGCGTATACGCTGTCGTTCAGCTGCTCTGTTGGCTTGACCCGCTGCCTCGCCCCTCCTACAGTTATCCCTGCCTCTGTCTTTGCCTCCTTCACAGCAACTGGGTCGATGCCGTGGGTCTGCACTGCAGCAGGGTGGTGGTGATGGTGGTGGTGGTGGTGGTGNCAGCAACTGGGTCGATGCCGTGGGTCTGCACTGCAGCAGGGTGGTGGTGATGGTGGTGGTGGTGGTGGTGGTGGTGCGGCGTTTGGGGGTTACCATAGAAATTCAAGTGCAGCAACGAAACTTACTTATGCGCTCCTTGGCTGCTTCCTCAGCTGCAGCAAGCGCCGGGTCGTAGGCGGGAGCAGCAGCAGGAGACACGGCGCGGATGCGCGTCGTCAGCTCGACAAAGGATGTCAGAGGCCCTGCATGCAGAGACGACGCAGAGGCTGCTGCATATCCGGGGGGGCCTTCTGGGCATTCCTGTGAAACCCGTTGCATGCATGCATGCATGCATGCATGCATGCATGCATGGGTGCAGGTGGGGATTAGAAAGGGGAGAGGAGAAGAGAAAGAAAGAAGAAACAAACCTCGCTGATCTTTGAGAGCCGCATGGTGCGTGTTGTTGCATCGCCTGACGGCAACTCGAGGGCCAGCGACTCCACCCCGTTCTGCTTCGATCCCTCAAAAGAGAAAAGCGGAGACTCAATAGAAACAACAAAGACGCCGCCGTCGTCGCTGGTGATCCCCGCGTGAACTGCAGCAGCACAGATGCCGCTACGGCC